TTGAATTTATAATGTAAAAGGAAGAAAGCACAAAGCACATTTTATGAAAGTTTCAACTCGTTGTTATGACAAATCCTAATCAATACAGAACCCTAGTAGTGGCCCGTGTGACCAGCATATGAGTGTTCACCCACACAACCGAAGTTCAAAACCCCTTGTCCTCTATTCCTTTTCCCCTTCTCCCAATTCTTGAAGTTCAAAAAAAAAAAAAAAATCCTAATCAACATAGCTTGAAATTTCAAGTTCTAACTTATTTATATCTTGAGGAAAAGTCCTTGAAATTTAAAGAAAAGGCAATAAAGTCCTTATATGCTTTTAAAGCCAATAAACCATAGTTTAATTAAGAACTTAAAATTATTGTAAACTCTTTCTTCTTTTTCTTTCCTTTTTCCATGAACAAGATAGTTATTTACATTTGTGAGGTGGAGGAATAAGGTGGAGACTTTTAAGTATTGAACTCAAGATATAATGGAGTGCCCCTCACTTGTCAGTAATAGCGAGCCACTTGTTCAAGACATGAACTTTTCATTGAACATGAATAAGTATGAGTTTGGGGGCCTGGGTATTGCCACACTATCTTTTGTTAAGGCTACACAAATAATACAATAGATATATTTGGTTTAACTGATTTTATCAACTTATTACTTATTTTTTTAAAAAACTAGTTAAAGTGTAGAAAAATATCAATTTATAAATTAATTCTATTTCATTAAATAATAAATATCAATAGTTTTATTACTAACATTTACAATTATCAGTTGTCCTTAATAATCAAATTAAAGATTGAGTGACCTTTAAAAAAAATATGTGGTAATAACCAGCCCCCAAGTTTGGAACTATAAATAAAAGTTAAAAGTAACTAATATGTAAAAAAAGAAAGTAGTTTTTTTTTTTTTTTTTAATCTTGAGCTGTACAATGAGAGGTAATCTTTTCACATCTCTTAACTCATTCAACCTGCATGCCATGCAATTCGAATTAAGGATCTCTTCCTTCCTCTAGAGAGAGATTACTGTTGAGCATAAAAGTAACACTTTCTAAAGTTATGCTATCTTGCCAAAAAGTATGGCTTAATGTACTTACTTTTTATCAATTAAACATAAATAAAGAGAAACTAAAATTAGAATGCAACTAAAATAAACTAAACTAAATCAATTTGAACATCTAGAGTTCCCCCATCATCTTGTCTTCAAAAAAAAAATGTTAATTCATGTGCAATGTTGATATCACGATTTCAACAAAAACAACTAAAAATTTAAGTAAAAAAAGTGCTCAAATCTAAATATCTTAGTAACTAGAATATATACACCTCATTAACATCTAATAAATAATTAACATGGCACTTGTTTGTACTACAAATTACCTAAATCACATCACTAAAATATAAGAAGATACTTACAAATGCATTGCTTTATACTTACAAATGCATTGCTTTTAATATATCTAATGATGAACTATACAAGAAAAGGTAACCCTCCCTTTTTCAATCCCCAACCATATCCTAGAGTCTGAACTTGAGGCCTCTAATATGGAAGCTAAAGAGTGAGACATTCTTGGCAAACCTTACAGAAACATTGTACTTATTTTATATAAATGGTAGAATATTAGTTTGACAATCCTATCCAATATCATTTCTTCCCAAGTCATTAAGCAAAATCTGTTTTGCATTTTTATTTTGTATCATTGAGTAACTTACTTTTCTATCATCTCATCTTGATAAATATCTTATCTTTCCTCTCATTACCATCATAGCTAATGGTTTATTCACAATCTTATTCTCTTCATACTAACTTAAAACCTTGATTGTCAACTTAATGACAATTCATATATTAAATTACCTTCTTAACTCATATAAGGATTTCTAGACTTGAAGTAACCAAATATATCCTTTAGCATGAGAAAGAAGATAAATGATTAATAAGCAAATGAAATTGCTGATAACTAATAAAAACCACATCTTTTTGTAAGTATTGATACCCAAAAAAGAAAAACTTCTTTACAAGTAAAGTCATATATGGACATGGATTAGCTACTCTCAATGATCTATATATTTCAAGAGGGTCATCAAATGCATGTGGACTCAAAACGATCTGGAAGATATCCCCTACAAGTATATGCTCTTTTGCTTGTAGTACAACTTTTGTGTATGCTTCATTTGTCATGTTTGAATTTTTGAAGAAGGACCGAATTGACAAGTATATAATTTACAGAACTTGAAGACAAGATAGCTTTGGACTAACAAGGAACAAAATCAAAATGTCATGTTAGAGATAAATCGAAAAAGAAGATAAATTAACACTACAAAACTAATGAATGAATATTCCAATGACATCAATCATTCACAGATTAACATTATGTTTCTTCATTAAGCTTTTTGAATAAAGGAGTGTCGTTCTAGCCTCACCCAGTGAATAAAATATTCTTTGTATAGTGCAAATACATACAATACTCAAACATAAAATTGTAATATATGCCCCATGGAGAAGTTTATAAATTGTGGATGTAATACCTTTTGCACTAGGTGAAACAAAATCATATCCTTATAGAGGCCTAGATATATTTCATCTTGTAGTGCCTTTAAGAATGGAAGCTTTTTCTTCTCCACATATCTAATTGTATCATATGAGAAATAAAATTTGAGGATGAGATTGGAGGGTGGATGTAAAATTTGAGGGATGGAAGGGAATTTTTTTTGAGAAAGGGAATGATGAAATCTACTAGCTAGGTGTTTTCTTGCTTTTATAGATGATATACAACATAAAACGTGCAATCCTTCTTGGCTCTAGTAATTCAAGATGTGATGCATGATATAGTATCATCAATCTTTCAATATTGTGTAAATATTGTAAATTTATATTAAATTTTCATTGCAAAAAAATTCATAACTGCATTTTTAAACATAAAGCTTAAGAATAAATTTTCATGCTTGTTTCTGGCAAAACATGCAACTTGCAAGCTCTAGTTTTAGATAAAATGGTCATCTAACTTGTCCACCTATATATATGGATCCCATATTTTGTTAAATTTGCAAACTACATACTTGTAATGTATCAAAAACTCAACATGGGATATATTGAATCAATTTATGTACATGAATAAGGAAATATTTTACAAATTCCTAATTTCACTAATAAAGTAAACATTAAATTAATAATCATGAAGTTAAAGGAAAGTATGTACACTAATTTATATATAAAGCTATAAAAGAAAATGCCAAAAAAAAAAAAAAACCATAAAGGAAAGCAGGTGTTTACCTTTATTGCCAAGAAAGAATAGCTCTGTGATCAGGAAAGGAGAATTTCATCATCTCTTTCCTTTTCTATATCAAACATTTCTAACAAAGACTGAGTTATTGTAAATAAATACATGCATATATTGTCTTCCATCATCTTTGAAAGAACTTGAGACTTGCACAAGACAAAAGAAAGCCTTAAGAAGACTTGTAAGCTTTAAGAACATGTTCTTCTTTGCTAAAGGAGTGATTTTCATAGAATTTACAAAGAGAATTAAGCCTCACAAATAGGTTAAAACAATTTGAAATCACAAACAAAGAAGACAAAGTAAAGTATTTTCATGTGAAGGTTTTAACGTTACTCAATTATATATTATATAAAGTTTTGTTCAAATAAAACAAAATATCACCATGTGAATCCCAATATAAAGTTACAAACTTTTCAACTATCTTCACATGAATTTTTTAGACATTTCCCAATTATTAACTATAAAATTAAATTTTCATCAAATAAAACAAAATATCATCATGTGAATTCTGCTATAAAAATATAAACTTTCAACTATTTTCACCTTATGTTTTTTTTTCTACCTTCACCTTATGTTTTTGGATATTACCCAATTATATGTTATATAAAATTAAAGTTTTATTTAAATAAAACAAAACATCACTTGAATTCTATTATAAGGTGCAAAATTTTCAACTATTTTTATATGAATTTTTTAGATATTACCTAATTGCATGCTATAAAATTAAATTTTTATTTAAATAAAACAAAATACCATCACATGAACTTTGCTATAAATGTACAAACTTTTCAAACATTTTCATGTGACCTTTGTTGATATTTCTCAATTATATGCTATATAAAATTTAAGTTTTGTTCAAATAAAACAAAACATTATCACGTGAATCTTGATATAAAAGGATAAACTTTTCAACTATCTTCAAGTCAATTTTTTAATTGTTTCTAATTATATGCTACAAAGTTAAAATTCTATTTAAATAAAACAAAATATTCCCACATGAATTCTAATATAAATGTATAAGTTTTTCAAACATTTTTACTTTAAATGTATAAAATTTTCAAACATTTTCACTTGAATTTTTTAGATGTTACTTAATGATATGCTATAGAGTTAAACAAAACATCACCATGTAATCATGAAACAAAAGTACAATCTTTTTGAATAATTCACCTAAAAGACATGTTTGAGAAAGACATATTTGAACATTAGAAAGGCAAAACTAATTGAGTTTATATATGTTTTCTTACCATGTTATGTTATCAAGGTCGCAAATAACCTAAAGTTGAATTTATTATGTAATAAAAAAGAAACCACAAAGCACATTTTATGGAAATTTCAACCAATTGTGATCGCAAACCCTAAGCAATATAACCCTTGAAATTTCAAGTTTCAACTTATTGATGCCCTAAGGAAAAGCCCTTGAAATTTAAAGAAAAAAGTAGTTACGTCCTTTTATTCTTTTGAACCAGATAAGCTTTTGATAGTTTAATTGATAAGGCAAAGAAAAAAAAAAATCAAATTTCAATATTTCTATGTCAAAATAAACATTTTTACATTACAGTTCTTATCTAAAAATTTATTTTCAAATTTAAATACTAAAAAATTGAAAGTTTAAGGGTGACCTTTTACATGAAAGTATAGGCTTTTTTTTGTATGATTATGGATTTTGACTTTTAGTTCTGATTTTTAGTAGTTACAAAATTTATAAAATCCAAAACTAAAATTTTATTTTGGATGAGTTTTAACACTAACCTCAAAAAGTATACTCCCTTCATTTAATTTTAGTAAGTTTAGCTTTTCTTTTTTTCGAATAAAATAAAAAAAGCAATAATTAAGATAAATTTCCTATTTATCCTTATTTAATCATTACTTAGATAAGCTTTCATATTTCATATATATTGTAATTATTTTTTAAAAATAAAGATAAAATAAAAATAAAATATTAAATAATATCTTAAAAATAGATAATTAAATTTAAATGCCCTATATTAAAAATAAGTTAAATGCTAATTTTGGTCCCTCAACTTTAAGGTTTTGCATAATTTTCATCCCTCAACTTTTTTTTGTACTTTTTGATCCCTTAATTATGAAAATGCACTTTTTTAGTACTTCTGTTAGTTAATTCATTAAGTCTATCTGAATCTACGCATTTTTAGTCTACTAACTTATAATATATGCACATTTTTAAGTTGAGGGATGACGTAAAATGTGCATATTCAGATAAATTTAACGGATTAACTAATGGAATGACTAAATAAGTGTATTTTTCATAGTTAAGGGACTAAAAAGGTAAAAAAAAGTTAAAGGATGAAAATTGTATAAAACCTTAAGTTGAGGGACCAAAATTGACATTTAATCTAAAAATTATGCTTAGTAAAATTGAATGAAAGAAGTAGACTTATTAATAATATTAAAATTATTTTTATTCTCATTTCTGTAATAATTATAATAATATATTATAAAAATACATAAAATAAAATTTTTTTATGTAAAGTTATAAAATTTATAAAACTAAAATAAAAATTATGCTTATTAAAATTGAATGAAAGTAGTAGACTTATTAATAATATTAAAATTATTTTTATTCTCATTTCTCTAATAATTATAATAATATATTATAAAAATACATAAAATAAAATTTTTTTATGTAAAGTTATAAAATTTATAAAACTAAAATAAAAAATAAAAAACCACAATCATATCAAACTGCCTCATAACGTCTCAAGAATAGGTTTTGTTGCCTCCAGGGAATGGGTCGAGCCCAGCCCATACTCCCCAGTCCCAGCCCACCCCACCCTTTCATGGTAAAAAACTGTGAGGCCGAAGCAAGAGAAGAAGAGAGCAGAAATGGAGAAAGGGGACGAGGAGATTGAGAAGATATGCAAGAGGTGCAAGCAGAGCTACATCGCCTCCTCTAACACCTCTTCTTCTTGCTGCTTTCATCCTTCTTTCTTCGTCTGCCGCCGTCACGATGACCAGAAAAGGTACCCCCACCTCTCTCTGAAATCTCTGTATTTCAATATCTATATAATTTTTTCTTTTGATACCTGAAGTGGGAGATGGAGGTTCATCTTTATAATTTAAATTTTGGGTTTTTGTAAAGAAGTGCTCATATGGACCTATCTCAGAAAAATAGTCTTGATGATTAGATTTTCTGATTTTCTCTATTACAAGCGCTCTTCAGTTGCTAGTTTTGCTGAATTATAGGTAATGGAGTACAGAGTTATGTCAATTGATCATTTTCAGGATTTGCAGTGTGGTATTGGTTTTAATTTAATGGAAGAGAGTCATGAAATTTAAAAATTGAGACCATCAGTAGCTGGTTTCTAAGCATAGAAAAAGTTATGGGATTATAGTAGTGCATGCAATTTTTAGGCTTAGGAGGCTGGCCGTTTGCGTTGGTGTCTTAAGGTATAGGACTGTTCACCTCACCTCGCCTCACCATTTGACAACAACAACAACCCATTTATGTCTAAATATTATGCAACTTAGACCATCTTATTAATGCTCCTTTCCAACATGAATATACTGACCGATAATTAGGATAAGCATGGAAAGTAAAGCTTCTAATAAACAGGAAAGAAACGAATTGAAACTTCCTTGTTTTTGTTTCTCAAAACTGCTAGACTTTCATTCATCTGCTTCACAATGTTTTCTTCATACATGGTAATATTGATGTTGAGAACTCAACAGAGGAAGCAGAACTCATCTGACTTATTGGACTTGAAGAAAATTTCTTGGTGAAATATTGGGAAGTTTAGTCAGTCTTCATGCTCCTTTTAAACATGCATATACTGACCCAAAATTAGGATAGGAATGGCATGGGAATTAAAGCTTCTAATAAATAGGTCACACACAGAAACTGCTGTGTTGCTGACACCACTAGACTTTCATACTACCTCTTAATGAATTTCACTTATTTATAGTTTTATACATGGTAATAATGTTGCAAAACCAACAGAGGAATCATAGATAATCTGACTTATCGTACTTGAAAATTTATTGAGCATATTTGTTGCAGCTAATTTTTTATTAGCATCTAGGTAACTACAGGTTCAATGTCAACAGTCCCCTCTATGTTGTGGCAGCACAGGCTATTGGAATAGACCAAAAAAGCTAGATAAAGTGCCTTCTAATTATAAGTATAACTGACAAAGGTAACAAATCAAAATAAGATAATGAAAGAATGATCTTGCTCCTATCAGTTGGGACTATAAGAACACATGTTACCTCATCCTTCAATTTCTACTGCCCTTTCTCCCCTTTTTTCTCATATTCACTAAACTAGTTCCATGCAATTCTTTAGACTTCTATTCTTGTTGATTATTTTCCAATGACCAAAAAGGATAATAAGTATCAAGCAGACCTTAATTGCAATCATGTATTTCAAATTTCAATGACCAAAAGAGGGTAATAAGCATCAGAGAGGCCATATTGACATCAACTTTTGCTAGGAAATTTGTCCTACTTGGATTCTGAGTTTAGATATCTACCAAATTCAAGAAATTAGGTGGTGACAATATGGTGCAATGCACTTGTTCCCTTATGTCCATTGGATCTTGAAACTGTCTCATTATCTAATTTTTTTTATTCTGGTTTTCTCTAATACAACAAGAAGATATTTGCAGAAATGGATTTGGTTTGTTATTTAAATGAAAACATACTAAGCCTAACTCTTATTTGAATTATGGTTGGACTTTAGAGGATTATTATCCACATGATGGAATATCCTTATTAATAATAAATTTGAAACAAGTTTTCATTACCCATGTTCACTTTTTAGACCTTAAAAACCATAATCTTGAATTCTTGTGTTTTAAGATTAGGGAACAGTCCCATCCCCAATAATAGCAACCAAGTCCTAGCAGTATAAGAGATAACTTCTTTAGTTTCTATTCTATGAAATTTTAGTGCAATTGTTTGACTGTAGTGAGATTGAATCAGATTATGTTCTCTGCTCCAATAAATTTACTTTATATTCTTCACCCTCTGAGTTGCATGAATGATTGAATCCAGCATATCCTTATCATCTAGATATTTACTTGGTATTTACTTTGTTTAGCAATACATGGCAAGTTGCACTTCTTTAGGTTATAGTGTATTTAATATTCCTTTTTTGTTGTATTATTGATTTTGTAATTTTTGAAATTCTCAGGATCTTTCTAAACACTAGTTATTTGATAAACATTTATTTTGTTCCTCGAGCTTATAAATAATTAAATTAATAATTTGTACAAATGGTAGTGGTAAAACACCAACCAACTTCAACGTACACAAACTCATAATTGAATATCATAAATAGATAAAATACACATAGATGGCAGATTTCTTTGTTGGAAAAATATCACCCAAAGATTGAGTTCAGATGCAGTTAAATTCAACTCAGAATGATGACTCATTCCTCCACAGTAGCTCATTCCTCTGTGGTAGCTCAATGCCCTCTGATGTAGCAAATTAGCTTCATCTTGTTAGCATGGTACCCCTAGGAAACAACCCAACCTTCCTTTCATGGCAGCACCTTTTCTTGACCCAAATGCAGGTAGCATATTATATGAAAATAGTTGTAGAAGACAAGAGCATGAGAGACCATAGAATTGGACAAGGTAGATGCTTTTATTTACAGAAAGGATTTAAGACCATATTTATGATGATATTAGGACATAACATAAGTATATGGTATAAATAGCATCCATTAGGAAGATATAATATACCTTTAAGTAGGACAACTAAAGCTACATGATAATTAATGCTCTACTGACTAGTTAACAACTAATTTTGATCAAGTCATATCAGGTCTCTTGCATGCTTCTCATCCCAACAGAGTAGAACTCATCAGCACCCATTTCAATATACCTGCCCAACATAGATAAATAACAATTTTATTTTTTTTATTTTTTATTTGGTCAAAACTAGCTGTTAATTAGCCATTATGGTCTTAGTTGTCATATTTAAGGGTTTGTTATATCTTCCTAATTAGTATCATTTTTTCCTGAAGTTATATGTTTTGTTTTAGTATCATGGTAGATATGTTAATAAATCCTTAGGGAAGTTATATGACTCACGAGTTCTTTAAAAAAATAAGATCCACTCCCTTGCCTAATTTCACTTCACATGAAGTTTCTAGTTTTAGGAATAACTTGCATATAATGAGGAGTTTCTTTCTTCCCCCATTTGTATTTGGGCATCTCTTTATGTTGAAGTCTTTCATTATGAGTTGAGTTTAATAAAGGGGAACAGTTGTGAATGATAAAGGGCAATGCTGGCTTGTGCGTTGTCAAATTGAATAGTATATTGAACCAAATTATTGACTCATGATGATCATAGATGTGATCATTATAAAACTGAGCCTAGTAGATTGGTTATTGTTTTTTATTTTTTAAAGAGAGATAGTGAGATAGTTTTTATCTGAGAGGATATGTCACATGCTATATAGAATAAAAGATAAAACAATATTCATCTTGGAAGTTTGTTGAAGACATTCTCTCTCTCATGGCCATGTGATTTAACAACAGACAGTTTCTATTAAATGTTTTCTGCTTTGAATTTTAAGGTACTATGAGTTGGGACCAGATGATCCACCCTATGATGCCAAGTTCTATGACTGTTGTGGGGCCGAGGACCCAAACGCATCTGGCTGCACCACCAGTTTCCATGTCTCATATGATGATGACTGATGTATAATTTCTTATCTTCCATATTCTACATCTTCTGTAAAGACGAAATATGTAGAGGACTCTATTCCTTCTTGATATAAATTTGATGGTTATGATGAGAATTTGCTGGCAAATTTATGATCTCCTTACAGTTTTACTGCCCTTCATATTTTATGTTGTTAAATATGGCTTCAAATTTCAGTAAATTACTATTCCTTCTTTCTTGATATAAATGCATCTGTTCTCTGTTGTTGTTCCTTAATGGATATCATGAGAATTTGCTGTCAAATTTATGATCTTCTGGCAGTTTTGTTGCCCTTCATATTTTAGGTTGTTATTATGGCTTTAAATTTCAGTAATTTACCTCGTGTGTCTGCTTTAGAGGACGGCATGCTACTGCGGCCAAATTGGTCAGTTGAGTGAGTACGTTTGGTTACCAAGTTCTTGATATTACATTACATGCAATAGATATTTAATTTTCTCTTCTTTCCCCTTTTTCACTCATTTACCCACTTCTTAAAATTTTAGGGAAGGAAAAGAAAGCAATTCCCATGTTTCATTTGTACATATAATTTGAATCTTCCTGGCTCTGTCAGTCAGATGTAAGAAGCTTCCTAGAATAAAATCAACAAGAAAAGGTAGAAAGGAAAAAGGATAACCTTCATTTTAACTACTAATATTTAACTCTTTTTCTTTTTAATATCGGAAGATGAGCTAAATAATTGAGGATAGTCCCTCTTCCACAAATCCATTTCCTCTCATCCTAAGTTCGATCCATCTAAGGCCTCCACCTTGGAGGTTAAAATTCTTTCTTCAACCACTCATTACATGATGTAAGAGGTTTTTAATCAACTGGTTTAAGTTTCAAACTTTCTGCTGGTCTCTTATGCTTGTAAAAATTAATCTCTACGTGTATATATATATATATTAATGAATATATAAAGC